TTTCTGAAATATTAAACATTTAACCGTTTAAATATGATTATGATCAATTTGATCGTAATTTTTATAACTCAAAGTAAATAAAATAGGCGTAGTTAATCGTTTTTGTAGCTAGATCAAAATCCATTACGGTCGAAAACATTATTAGACGAACGGAAAAGATATCCGTTTTTCTTTTTATTTTTAGTGCAAGAATGACGCGGAAAAAGGATGAACGAATTTTTTTATCAACTTATGACGTAAGATATCGTGACCACGGATAACAGGGCAAGACAAAGGAACTGCGCCTTCGAAAGCGTCGTGAAGCGGAATCGCGGCCTTGAAGACCGACCGTTCGACGACCTCATTCGGCTTGTTCACACAGACCAGCTGAAGCACGTCGATTCCTGAACCGAGTCCTGAGCTCGCCTCGTGTAGACCTTCAGTAGTTGGCAGTGTACCCTGCATAAATATTTAAGATTATGATCATATTCAACAGAATGTTTATTTTGCAACTATTGGAGGGTCCCTGTGCTTACTAGAAAAGTATCTGAGATGATAGTTTGGTTTTATGAAATGATGTGGATTTTCGGAAAACGGATTGAATAAATGTGACCCCCAATTTGCTCTCGAATGCATTGGACTCGTGACTCAGAGTTTACTTTAGAATTCATTTCTGGTCAAATGACTCTTTACATAAATTTTTGAGGACATGGGAAATAAGTTCAATTCTAATCTTATTTCCCATTCCAATGTCCTTTACTGGAGAATTAATTCCGAAAAGTTTTGATCAATTCTTGAGAAATTTGTCATTCGTTATTTGCTTTTTTCCCTCAAAATCCTATATGAAAACGTCAAAAATTTACGGCAGAGAACTTTCAGCAGTTGCAAAATAACGTTCTGTTGAGCGTGGCCAATGTTTTCCGTCGATTCGGAATAAGGTTTCGTTTCGCTCTATAATTACGAGATTACGTCGCGTGTGTTACGAGAAGGCACACGGCTATTATACTCCAAATTTCGCATACATGTAGGCGAGTTTTCGATAAGATAAAAATTCTCGAGTGTATGTATAATCGGAGGGCTCAAATAGCGGCGCGACAGCCGAGATATAACATTATCTATAATATAAAACTCTCGTATTATATCCGATAACGCGATCGCTATCGCTATGCTGTTTACTCGCCTGATTTTCACATTGGTGCTGTCGATCACCTCGCCGTCGCAATTCCACACGCTGAGTCGAGGGTTCGAACGGCCCGCGTTCATCCCGCTTTCGACGTGCAGCGTCGGCAAGGCGCGGAATGTGAACTCTCTTGCTCGGTAGACCTCGACGAATGGTAGCTCGTACTGCAACAGAGTTGCCGGCACCTCGTTACTTTCACCCCCGTTTCTTTCGATCGTTTCGCGATCGTAGTAGCGGCATAATTATTACGTGATTTACTAATCTAAAAATGTTAATTTGCGTAATCTCAAAGAGCTTGAGATGCTTCGAAGCGCAATGTAAACAACATTAGGTGAATGATGATTGTTCAAACATTGAATTTTCCTTGCTTTTTTTTTTGAATACGATTTTTTGAATTTTACGATTGAACAATTGCTTATGTATTTAAATCTGCGAGCTCAGACGTAATGAAGAATAAGAAACAAAGAATTAAATATAGAGAATTAAGGACAGGAAAATATTTTCGACCGATGGAGGAATACCTTGGATGGAGGAATTCCTTGATTGTGTACCGAATTATAGATTTCTAAATATCGAAATTTAATTCTCTATTCCTAATTCTTTTTTAATTCTATTCCTTGTTCCTTATTTTTTTTTATTATGTCTTTTTTTTGCGAACCTGTTGTAAACGATTATGTCTTTTTGTTGCGAACCTGTTGTAAACGATTGATAAATTCAATGTTCAAGCAAAAGAGTGAATTGATAGTGACGATAATAACGATAGTGAAGATAATTGACGATAATCATCCGTGTAAATGGCTGAGACTCGTGCGTACCAGAGTCTTTCGTTTGCTGGAGAGCCTAAGCAACAATCGGATGTTGTTTATTAGGGACGTGTGTCGAATTAAGATCACATCCACGCAGCCATCGCCTATGTGACAGTGAGGACTGAAGCCCATGGGACTCCTCGAACACGCGCACGACACATTCGCGCCGTTCACCATGAAGAACTTCCCTCTGACCGTCACCCATCCTATATGGGAACAAAAACATTATTTGCTTAATTCGACTTTGCCGACTTGAATCGACTTCGTAACTTGTTATATACTTGTTATATTTATTCTCTTCCGTTTTTTAACACGTACTAGAGATTTCCTCATCGGGGATGCTGTTGTGCATATGCTGCACGCATCGCAAACAGTTCTTCATGCATCTGGTGCTACCTGCCGGATGACAAGGATCCGATAGCAACTCGATTTCACCCTCGTAACCCTTATTCGCTATTATTTTTTTGAATCCTGAGAACAAAAAGATTTAATTAGTTCAACGTCAACTAGAGATAAATAAAATATTTTTTACTAATCGAATCGAATCAAATCGAATCGTCGAATAATATAACTTTTAATTAACAACATAGCTATTGTTGTAAAATCATCACGCGTGAAACAGAACGCATTCTTTATTTAACGGGAAATATGATCTATAATATTGTTGGTATGTGAATTGAAATATTTGAATTATGTTAATTATTATTTGAATCTCTTAAATTCGAAATTTTCAGGAGGTTCAGATTCAAACCATAGAAATTCAAATCCGAATCAAATCGAATCTTATCTAATTCGTATTCATTCAATTTATCAATTCTATTCAATTCGTATTCGAATAATTCACTCATCTCTAATATCAATTATATCCATGTTTATTAATTATATATGAATACGTTTACGATAGGTAATTTAATTTATTTATTTATTCAAGATCAGCAGATTATTGCTTTGTTGTATTCAACTCGAGCAATTTATCTAAAGATTCTCCGCGTAAAATAAAACGGATCAGATTCCTTACCGGACCAATCGTATCTATGGGGTCCCATCCATCGGAACTTCTCGCTGTCGCGGATGACGTCGCCCAGGTAGCCGTAGCTGAGCACGCTGGCGTACAACCTGAGCAAGGTGCGATTGTTATGAACCGACGAGATGTCCAGGCCGATCGAGTCGCCGAAGATGATATGTATGGCAGCGGTTTGCACGTCGGTGGTGCCGTGCAGGCTGTAGGCAACCGTGTCGGTGCTACCGCTTGGTATGACGCCGACGGGTAAGGCGGGACCGGGCAGCCTGGCGTCAGGGTCGTTCGGATCGATGTGCTGATCCTTCGCCGCCCGCAGAATCAACCCGTTGAACACCTCGGCGAACGTTCCGTCGCCACCGATGCACAGCACCGCCTATCGAACAGTGAAGAGTTAAAGTAAGAGGATAGAGTCTTCCAACGCTACATATAGCGTAAACGCATAAAACCTCTCTGTAATCCTAGAAATTTAAATCGATTTGTAGAGCCGAGAAATTTCGACAAATATTTAAAGATTTATATAATTTTTTCGAAGAAATACGTTCTGAACGTGTTGCAAAAGTGTTCAAAAATCGACAAATCAAAGTTTGATCCTCCGATTTCTTACGATTTAAATAATATCTAGTATTTTTATTACATAAATCAAGCTGGATTTACAATTTTCTGGATAGTAGATGACTGATCAATATATAAAAAAAATGATATAAAGAGAATATAGAGAAATAACTTATTTTGATAAAGATAATAATAATTCTAAATTTAGAGAGACCTAAAAATTCTCTCTCCCTCAATGAATTTTCTGAATTTGCGCAACAGATACAAATATATTTATTCGCCGAGTTGCGGCCTTTACTTCGCATGAAAGTAATAGAATGTTAGCCTCGCAAGAACAGGACTCACATGTAGGTCACTCAAGTCGACCGTGAGTAGAGCGTCGCGAATGTGGCCGGCACGCTCGGTAACCATCATCTTCGTCTCGATGCCGGCGATGGTCATGAGTGGCTGCACGTCCTTCTCCCAGATTTTAACACCTTTTTTCTTACCGCCTATGGGATTGATAAACAGCATCACCTTTCGCGGCCGATTCGACAGACCTGGAACAATCGCAAACTGCGAATTAAATTTTTTAATCCCTCTTTTAATTTTAGGAATTTTCTACGTGTTGGCCTTTCAATTTTTCCAACTCCAAGAACTTTTTTGTTGGATTTTAATTATTTATTTCGTTTCTATATCGCGCAAAAATCTATTCATAGAGATAAAAATATCGATAGAAAATCTAAAAGTGAGTTGGAAGAGCACAACATTAATCTTATCGTGTGTTAATTGATATTATTTAATTCGTGGAACTCTTGTAGATTAAGCGAACGAGGTTTCTGAATCGAAGTTTCTTCCTAAGCAACTGTATTTTAAAGACAAAAATGGATCAAACAGAGGATTACAGGGGGATGATAAAATTTTAATCATGCAAAATGCCCCGATCGATCTTCTGTACGACACGCGATGCTACGTCGATAATCGAACGGGTTTTTTTTTCGTGAAAACGACGATTACACGGGCATGGCAAACCCCCAGATCAATACCGTAGCTGTTGGTTCGCGATGACGGTCGGCAGGGGTAGTTTAGAGCACGCCCACTCTGTTTCCTCGACATTCATTAAAATTTGCACTCTCTTTCTCTCTTTCTCTTTTCTTCCCGTTTTCTCTCTCTCTCTCTCT